ATGAGGTGGGCATGCTGTGAAAAGGTTTGAACTAACATATTTATTAAGTCCTTAATGAAAGTATTAAGCTTTTGTGGCAGGATGAGGGAAGTGAAGTTAAGATGACCCAGCTGTTTTATAGCTGTGGAAGTACACAGTCTGCACAGACATCCCTGCTTTGGACAGCAATGGAATTTTTCAGTGTCCACCAAAATCTAAATTTCAGTCTTTGTCTTATTAAAGCCCTGACTCAGCAGATCCCTTCAGCATCGTTTTGCTTTCAATTCCATGATGCACAAACTGGTTTAAATACTTTGGACTCCCCAGTTTGATTCCAAGGGAGATAGAAAATGGCAAAATTTAGAACATGGAACCTATAGGTGCACTAATCCCCTGGTGTCCTTGGTGCCAAGATGTGTTTCCAATCTGGCCCATCTGCCAAAGATCCTCTTCCCCTTTTATAGTTCATTTCATCAGGAGTGGTTTTGACAAGAACCAGAAAAATATCCTGGAATCACCTCCTGTGCTCACAAGTGATTGTCCAATGGTTTGTGCAGCGTTCCCATGCAGAGGTTACATAAAAATGTTCTGTTGCCATGTGAACTGGAGGTTTGTTTGGATGGAGCATCAATACCCAGGAGGGGAGAAAGGGCCGGGGGGAGGGAAGAGAGGAGAAGACACTGGCACAGTGCCAACCTCTGGAGTTTTTTGTGATGATAAATGGTTCACAAGGAGTCAGCATGACCCGCCAAGGAAACCCGAATGCTCTCAAAGAGCCTGGGCTTCAGATCCTGCTGACAGACAAGTCCTCCTTATCATCCCCTCTGCTCAAACACAGCAGAGTGTGCCCAGCAAGGGAGGGCACAGAGGGCTGCCCTGGCAGATGATGTGATGTCCACCCACATGGCCAGGGCTGATTCCCACCCACCTGACTGCTGTAGCAGCTTTGCCTTTGCTCCCAGCTGGACACCCAGATCCCAGCAGATCCCCTCTGCTCTTGCCTGTGCTGCAGCAAAGGCCTTGCTGGTTTCTAAAGGGAGGAATTCCCATTCAAACTGTGTGATCAAGCTGAGTTCTCTGTGCTTCCCACAAAGCACATGGAGTTAATGGAATAAATGTTAATGGAGTTAATGGAATAATATCTTATGACAAGCACAACACAGACACAGGAGTTAACACTTGCAGTCCATACCTGGCTTTTCACTTGATTGACTTTGTCACGACACCATATTTATTGTTCTGTGCATGCGTAAAATGAGGAGAGGTCACAGCAGGTACCATCTTTCTGTACATCTGGAGAGAAATGGGAACGAGATTGGAGAGAGATGGAAAAGGAGAGTCTAGGAGACAGGTTGATACAAGTGGGTGAGGCTTCCAGGGATGAGGAGGTGGCTTGTCTAACCAATTGCTTCTTCTCTACTTAGTTATTGTTGCCATCAATGTGAAGACTCAACAGCTGCAATACATATTTGATTTTGTGAGTGGGACTTAAGTAGACAGAAAATCAAATTGGAGCCAAGAACTAGCCTGAAGGCAGGCACATCCTAATGCAAAAACTTTTTTAAAAGGGATTTGAGCATTCCCTGTGGCACAGCTTCCCTGTCCCGCTGCTGCTGATGCAGCATGGACTGGTTTCCCCCAATTTCCAGAAGACCAAAGAAATTAAATACTCTTCTGTCAAAACCAAACTGCCTCTGGGCAGCAGATGAGGAGGGTTTGTGAGCTCTCTATCTTGTATTGGTTTTATTTTTTTTTTCCTTCTCCATCCTGCATTTGCTCTTTAAGAAATTGTCATTGGGGAGGGAGGGGAGAAGGCAAACAAAAGTTGACTTTTGTGAAGCGGCTGAGACTTGGCAGTTGTGTGGAGGTCACGGTGCTCAGTCAGTGTCAGCCTCCATTCCCCAGAGCTGTATCCTGTAATGTATTTATTTATCATTACAGACGGACAGAATTTCCCCCCGCTCTGGGTTTGTTGTGTCCAAGGCCGCGGGTTCCGACAGGGATCAACAGCACTCCCGCCGTGATGGAGCAGCTCGTCAAAAGCTGAATTAGATGTTAAATCTTTCTGAAGTGGGGAGGAGGTGGAAGGAGGGGAATCACATTGTGCTAAGAATTTATCATGTGTTGTTTCCTGTGAGATAATGTACAGGGGAAGATTTGTTATGGTGCAAGTCTCAAACTGCTGTTTCAGGGCTACAGTGTCTGCCAAGCTTATGATGTATTTGATCTTTTCTGAAAGTCCTTCTTTTCCTTTTCTACCTTTTGTTAAGCTGTCTGTCTTCCAGGTAGGTAAATAGTTAAAATGCTCCACCTGCTGAAATATGTAAATGTAAGCACCTAAATTTGCATGGATAAGAGGAATAAGAAGAAATCTGCTAGATGAGAGTGCGAGACCCAGTGAGGCTCCAGCTCCTGGACAGAAGGTTGGATGCTCAAGTTGTCCCTTAGCTTTGTGGTTGGATATGACAGACAAGTTGTGAAGGTGTGCCTTTCTGCAGAAACCCCTGAATTTTGGTACAGACCTTGAAGAAAACAAGGCCTTGCTTTGCAAAGGTGCTGCACGTGCAGCATTACAGAAAGCCCAAAGAAGCAACAGTCTGATGGTGCTTCTCAAAACATTTATTGAACCAGTTTGCATCAGTCACCATCTCTTCCAGTGCAGGTCCCTCTCTCTGCCTTGTAAAATGGTGGAAATACTGTGTGTTCTTCTGCTCTTTCATCACACTCCTTTTATCCTCAGAGGGAAGTAGAGATGAGTCTCATTTATGCTTCCTGATATAACTGTGGTTGTTATCTGCAGTCACTGAAAGGGCAGCTCAGGTACCTTATTAATGGACTGTAAAATACACCCCTTTTAATCTAAATGGAGAAGAGGTAAGTGTCAGATTTTTCTCTCTGAATAAATATGTTGGCATAAGAATCTTTGGGGTAGAAGTTTTTCTCCAATTCCTCAATAAAACGTCAAGTGCAATGATAGATGAACTGGCACTCCTGAAGTTTACTCAATATTGTTTTGTTCTCAGTATCTAGGTCAAGATATTTCTGCTTTGCTTGGATCAGACAAAGTTTCCACAGATCTTAAATAACACTGTTAATATTATAAGTGCTTTGGTTATCAGGCAGGAAGGAAGCTTATTGATCAGCAGGGTAAGCACAGTGTGCATATGAGCCACCTTTTCCTGCCTGCCTGGAATGAATGTGAAATGCAAAAGCAGGCATGGCAAGTCCCTGTGCTGAGGGGTGGGAAGGGAGCTGGTAACACACCTTCCTCCCTGCCTCAGCTGTTTCAGTGGTCTTTATCAGGGGCACCTGCACAACCTTTAACATAACTTTTCCACAAAGCAATCCTGGAAGTTTGTGCTTCTGTGTCCTTTGCACAGGAGAGAGTGAGGTGCAGGGAGAAGTCAAAAATTCACCTGCTGTTGAATGAATTTGGCCCTGACTTTGGACTTGACCCCAATCTGTGTACTGCCAAAGTGCTGGTTTGTCCTTTGGGCTGGGTGAACTTGTCAGATGTGAGTTCCCACCTGAGTGTCCTTGGAGGAAAAAGCCATGGCTGTTTGGAGCCCCTGAGCTCAGGAAACATGAGCAGATATCAAATGTGTCATAAGTCAACAATGACTTTGGCACTGCAACCCCTCACTTCATCCAGGGTTTGGGACCTCATCAGCTGCTCAGGTGGTTTGATTTGGGTAAAAGTGACTTAGAGGTTAAATCCAGGAAAAAAAATGTTCTGACTTTTCTAGGCTGTCCTAAAAAGAGTTTTTGTCCATCATTCTTTTTGGAGGTTTGTGATGTTGCCAAAGAAATCCAAGGTAACCTGTCTTTGCTGTATGTACATTGTGACATTGTCTCTCTTAAGAACAGCTCCTGGTTTTCACATTGTTATTTACAGAAAACAGCTCACAGGGCAATAGTAGGAGCCCTGAGTGATCATCCTGGTCCTGGGATGAAAGATAAAATCATGTGGTTTCCTCTGCCCATTCACTGAGTGAAAGTTGAACCCTTTCTGTGAAATAGGGAGGCTTTGACAAGAGGAGAGGAGAAGAGCAGGTAGCCAGGGAATTAGAGCATCGTTCTGGGACATGGGAAATGCTTATTGGAACCTCTCTGATTGGGAAGTGGAGTGCAGGACCTGCTGAGCAATCCAGTGAAGCAGCAGTGGCAAAAAATGAAATGGTGGGGTTTTTTTTGCATAGAAGGTTTGGAAAGTGTCACCTACAGCCTGTCAGAGAGTGACAACCTCTTGGAATCTTTTTTATTGGCACTTCCTTTCTGCAGCATTCGAAGAGAGCAAAGAGCTGATCCTCTGTGACTTTCATGTTTACTTTGGAAAGGATGTTTCTCCAAGAGAACTGGGATTGTCTCTGGAGAGACCAAGCTGTCATTGACAGACTTGTGCATTCTGACTGTAGGAGGAGAAAGGCCAGTTTTCTGAAGCTGTGTCTCCCCACATGTGCTGTTCCCACCCTGCAGGGAGGCTGACAGGGAGCAGGGTGCTGGGGGACAGTCAGTGCTGCTCTTGGCTGCTGCCAGCAGCAGAAAGACAGACCCTGCTCTTCAGGGACCATCTACCTTGTGGTAGAAAATCCTAATGGATTTGTTTTAATTTAGGCCTGGAAGTCAATAGGTTGGCTTTCTCTTCCCTCTTCTATTTTTGGGATCTTAAATTTACTCTTTTTTGACCATGAAAGGAGGAACTGGTTGAATGAGAAACTCCTTCATAATGTGCAAGAGTGGCAGAAGGCCCTGGGCCAGGCTGGGGGCAGGGGCAGGTTGGAGGAACCTGGGCAGGGTGGGACTCTGGGAGGGGTCCCTGTGCATGGGGGACGAGGGGGGTTCTCTCCATCAGCAGCAAATGCTGGTGCTCCAGGACTGTGCTGTGTCTGTGGGCCTGTGGGGGAAGCTCAAATAGATTCTTGGCATAAAATCTTGGGTCTTGGATCCTTTTTCCTTAATGGATTGTTCTGTCTCCCCGGTGACACCACTGCAGCTGCAAAGCCACAGAGGCACTTTGGCTGAAGTCCTCGTGGATTAAAGGAGAGAACAGTGGATAGATCTCCTCGGCAGGAGCAGGACTGAATGATCCCTGCCCACTCCAGCCTGGGTGAGTCCCAGTTCTGCTGACCTGAGGGACACATCTCCTCATGTCCCAGGCTCTGGAGAAGAGAGAATTAGTGTGTGCAAAGTTTTCAGTTTATAGAGAAAGATTTGAGGTCTCTGCCCAGGCAGCTTTTTTGTACCTTCTTTGGCTTTTGGAAATTAGTAAGTTTATTTTTGTCTGAGTTTCTTTAATATATGGCAAAGGTGGCTAGAATCCTGCATAGACACTTTTTAATATTTCGTATAAACCTAAACAAATACATTAAATAAAGGTTCTTTCACCTCCAACTTGATGGTTCAAATCCAATCGTGCTTGGGAACAGAACTGTTCAAGCAGTAAAAATAAAACATCTCCTGATTTATGCATAGGAGTGTCAAACTTTGACTTGTTCTGATTACTGGCATCACATTATTTGTGAACGTTCAGACAACTGCCAGAAATTCATGGAACACGTTTGTGAATCCCCAAAGTTTCATAAACTTCAGCCTGAGCAGTTATTTGCTTTCTGGTGAAGAAGTGGGCTGGCTGAAGCAGTCTGACAAGACCAGCTCACTAATGTGCAGGTCCCACAGTAACAATAATGAGTGCTGAGGCTCTTGTTTCTCTTGCACAGCAGAAGGTGGCAATTCTGCTCCAGGTCACACCAGACAGTTGTCATTTGCTCTCGGGGGCTGTTGCTGCTGCTTTGAGGAAGCCAAGGAAGAAGGGATCCAGCTTGACTTTCAAATCTTACATTGTTTGCTGGGCCAGCTGTTGGAAAAAAATCTATTATTTGCTTCAAGGCTGAATTGTTCTGTTGGAGAAACCACGGCCAAGTAACTCCAGGTTGTGGAGAACAGGAGGAGGGGGAAGGGGAGCTGTGGTTCAGAGCCCTGCACAAGGCAGGACACAGAGCTGTTCCCACACACGAGTGCATCAGTCACTCTGTGTGTTTGTACCAGTGTCCAAGTGCCCTGAAAAGCACAGGGATTTGGCAAATCCATGTGGATGCCACACCAGGAGTAGAGGTGCCACAACTAGAACCTGAAGTCAAAGCATTTCTGGGCTGAGATGACTCTCCCCTGACAGACTCTGCCATTCCAGTGGAAGGTGTCCCTGCCCACAGCAGGGGATTGGAATTAGATGATCTTTAAGGTCCAACCCAAACCATTCTATGATTCACTTATTTTTTGGGCATCCAAAAGCAATTGGTGAATCCCAGGCTATGGGAATCTTGGCTCAAAGCAATGTCAATGGCTTACAGTGTTTCAGAGCTACTCTGGGACTAATTGTACATGACATTTTGAGCATTTTTTAATGTTCTTTTCCTTTCTCTGTGAGTCTTTATATTCTCTCACTGCTTTCTCTCCATCTGCATGAAGTAAAATTTAGAAAAGGTTATTATAGCTGCTTTGTCACAATATATAGCACCTGCATGGAGAAGTGGCAGGGTAGGAATAACATGGCATGGTTTGCTTCTGCTCTCACTTTGCATATGTGCAACTTTAAAACGTTACTTGTAGTTTCTGTTGGTATTACAAATAATAGATCAGGTCCACAATTTATTTGCTGAAGGTTCCAACAGATGTGGTGTAATTAACAGACTGTAATCATTAGGTTTTGGAGAGAGGGTGACAGATCAATTTTTTAACTGTTTTTTCCACTTAGAAATACATCCAAGTAGTGCTGCCTCCAGAGAGATGTGCACATGGATGGATGTACTTTGTGCATGCCATTTTATACACACTCTCACTTTGCTTTCCAAGTATTAACATGTGTAAATCCCTTTGGCACGTGCAGATATGTGCAAGTGGGTTGTGCATCGGAGCATTTATTTGCATGTGGAAGAAAAGAAAGCACATGTGGAGTTGTGTGCACTGGGAAGAAAGCACATGTGGAATTGTGTGCACGGGGTTACACTTGCACTGAAGGATTTTTAATGTTTGACCTTAGGTGGTGTCTCTTCAAATCTGCAACTCAGTGATTCAGCTCCTTTTGCCTTAAAAATAAAGGCAGGATGACTTTGGGTGGAGCAATAGTGATATTATTTTAGGAAGTAAACCTTTGAGGTGTGTTGCTCAGTTACACCTCCTTTAATATAGTAACATGAAAACCACAGAGATGGAGAAACCAGTTTTGGTGGGTGCATACAGGTGCAGCTCAGGGGTGCAGGTGCTGAGCTGATACCCAAGTCTGCAGGGAGCACAACCCAGGGGATCTTCCTCCCCACACAGATAACCCTGGGGCTGCAGCACAACACCACCAGCTCTTGGCTGTTATGGGTCCCATCTGTTCCACAGACTCGTCCAACCAGTTGAGTTTTGCTCTCAGGGTGATCGAGCAGGAGGGCCCGTGGTGCTGTGATGCCCATTCCCAGAGCGATGCAGGACAGGGCTCCAAGGGGGGAATCTCCTGCAGGAGGTTCAGGTTAGGAGTTGTAATGAGCTTCTGAGAATGTTAATGCATGTGTTTGAGTTTTGAGGGTGGCTGAAAGAGGGGAAAACAGGTCTGGAGAGAACTGCTTTTCCTTCACCTTTTGGGAGGGTTCTCAGGATTTTGTCCAGTAGCTCCTGATTTCTGCCACTAAACTCTCTTGGTGCATGGCAGTAAGGGTCATGGCAATATCTGAAAGCATTGCCCTAAAATGGCATTAAAACCTAGGAAATTTCACTGGGGAAGCAGGGGAGAGCCTTGTGGCAAAGTGTTGGGTTATCAACCTCTAACAGCTGCCATTGATTATTTAAATCCTTTTTTTAAATGATAAGTAAATGAGAGTACCCCTCTCATGGTACCCACATGGATTTTTTTTTCCCTCTTCTTTAGGAGAAATTGGATATTTCACTTTGTGTCTTTTAGAGGCTCTAATTCAGGTTTCTTACTGTTCTATCCCTTTCTTTAGGGCCAGTGCAGGAGGCAGGAATCTGAACTGCCTGATGCTCAAGAAGGTGAGTAATGACTTGGAGAAGACCTTGTGCGTATCTTTTGATCTTTGGGCTTCAGACACCCCTTCACCCATAATTAACTCATGTGTTGACTGATCACCTGAGTGATCAAGGGAGACTCAGTATGTCAGGGGAAACCAGGAAACTATTACTCTATGGCAAAACAGCAATCAAGGCAACTCGTGTGTGATACAAATCAGATCCCTGCAAGAACAAGTCACGTAATGGCAAACTGTGCTGGAGATGGATGAGATCCTAAATCATTAGCTTCAATAGCATCAGTTATGTTTACAGGGCAAGCCCATGGTATCTTCATGGCAAGCACTACATGCAGATAACAGCAGCAGCAGCAGCAGCAACAGAAATTAAAATTACAGCCTGAATTTGGGGAGGGGCAGTGCACTAGACACAACTGGCCAATAAATCAAGACCATCCGTGGGTTGGATGGAGGGGAATGGGAATGGTTATCATGCTGTTGTATAAAATGCACAGCTTAGGGTATATAGATCATTTAAAATATATATGAATTTGAAATCAGCCAAAAGATATGTCAGGCATTTCTCTTTGTAGAATTATGGTATGTTTTTAAAGCCTAAGTGCTTTTCAGTACAAATTTTAGCATGTTTTGCATTCAAATGGAACATCTACTATATGTGTGAAGCCCTTGCACACACTGACTGGAAAAGTGGAGGGAATCATTGGATTTATGGGTTCTTTTGCACATTCTGTCAAAGTCAGCCCTTCTGCCTAATGGAGCCCACGGAACAGGAAAGGCTTTCATTGCACAACTTTGCATAAGAGAGATGGTGTTTGCTGTCTGACACATCACAACCTGTAAACAAAGACTCAAAACAAGTCTGCATTAAAAGAAGGAACCTCAGCTGGGAAGGGATTATGTTAATAACAATTTCTGTAATGTCTTTATCAGCATTTCTGTGGCCAGTTTGTGATAATAAACAGGCAAAAAAAAAAAAGCTCTTGTTTGAGATGGAAGTAAATTCCAGGCTGATATGAGTGATGTACCTCATAACCAGTTATAATTAGAAGGGAGGCTTCTTACAGCTCTGTTCCTCTATAAATCACAGCAGATATTACCCCAACTTGTACAACAACTATGAAATATGCTATGAAATGTGAAATGCATGAAATAGGTTCTTTTGTTGCAATTTCATTCTCAGAAAAGCTCTAATTTGACACAAGCTTATGCCTTTTTTTGACAGGTTTCTTAAAAATAAGGCCCCAATTCCCTATTAAAATTTCCATTTAGTAGAGTCCTTTTTTTTGTTTTTTTTTTATAATCACAGTTTGTGCAAAGTGAAAGCATTGCATATTTGGGTAACAGAATCCCTGGAAGAGTTGATTGAAAAAACTCAAGCAAACCTTGTCTACAGCAGAAGCTTCATCTCAAACAAAATTTTACACTGAAGAAGCCAGAAATACAGGATAGTAACTAAATAGATGTGTATTTTCCTTTCCTTTTCTGACAGAGTCATCTTTGAGCTGGCCTGATGCCCACCTGCTTTATTCCAGATGTGGCCACGGAAAGTCCCTCAGGAAAGCAACCACAGGGAAGAAAGTCTTGCTGGCTTAATACCTAAAAACAAAACCAAAGTAAGATTTCTTGAGTCTTTTTCTTATATTGAGGTCTAAGTTTTTTTCCTATGAATTTTATTATATTTTTAATAGAAGATGAATGAGTTTATTTCAGAAGTGTGTTCTCTGGAAACAGAAGAGCCACCCAGTACTGTTGGTATGGCAGGGCTGTAGCTGCCTCTATTGATCCTAATTTAAAGCTGTAATTGCAAATAAAAACATAATTATATCCCCCAGCCACCTTAACTGAAAGGATTGATTCACAAGAGCAAAGCATGATAAGAACTTCTCATGGGCCAAGTGCTCATGGACATTTTAACCCCCTGGTTTGGGCATGGCCTGGATTTGTTCTTGCGTGGAAGAACATCATGGGCACTGGGGAGACTCAGAAAACAACCATGGTTCCCCTTCTCTTAGAGCAGGTTTTTTGAATGAATGTGTTTGAGGACCTGAGGAGGAATAAAAGTAGAAGATTGTAGTTCCTCCTTGAATCTGCCCATATTACAGGATATTAAATGTACAGCATGTTAAACACACCCAAGGTCTTTTATTGTGAGTGTCCTCAGAGGAGATGCAAACCCCACTTCTCCTTAAAGGAAATGGTGGAGGCTGAAGATCCTGAACCACCCTTTCAGAACAGGGACTGGAAGAGAAGAGGGGGCACTCCCTGTCCTGGCATTCCCTCAGCCCACCAGAACACGAGTATCTCATCACAACCCAGGGAGGTGAACACCCAGGACCTTCGGGGTACCAAAACACTTCCAGGGATCTCGGCCCAAGAGATGAGCTCTTCTTTAGCAACCCAGATTATTTTACCTTCAGAGCCAAATAACTCTACTTATGGTGCAGTCTAACAAGCCAGTCATGTCTGCTTAATGTTCTCAGCTTGGAGGAGTAAATCTGTAGGGCAAGAGATATTTTATAAGTCTGAGATTAGGAGCAATGGGGGGGGGGAAGGCTTACACTATGATTGGCTGTAAAAACAGTGAGATGTCATTACTCAAGGGAGAGTTCAAATATGAGGGACAAACTTAGCTGCTTTAAAAATAAATTAGTATTTTTAAAGAATTAGACAGAACTCTTGTTTGTTAGATGAAATTATCAATTGTTTTGTCTTCCAGAGGTAAACAAAGAGCTGAGGGAGTTTCAATCACTCACTCAGTCTTATGACCTTATGGTCACTGTCCAAAATACCAGCAGTAATGTTTCATGCTGGAGAACTAAGAAGAAGAAAAGCAGATACTCAGCAGGGTTAGCCCAGTGTCCTTCCAAGTAATCCCTTATTTTTCCAAAACATTTCCATATGGGGAGCTCTGTCACTGAGCAGAAGCACTGAGAGCAGTGTGGTCAGTGCTCTGTGTGGGTGCTGATGTTGGCTGTTGAACACCCAGAACAGCTGAGAGGCTGCAGGGCTGCCCTGCTGGCTGAATGGAGAACTGATGCCTGGGGCTGAGATGGGATTGTAACAGAAACTCCAGCCAGAAAAGGGGCATCACCACTTGGGAGGGAAGCAGAGAGCTCGGATTAGCTCCTCTGGTGGAGATGAGTACCCAGGCAGAGTCTGAAGAACTGCTGCAGATATGAAACTCTTGCCTGAACTTGGTGGAAAATTGGTTCAAAACACAAACTTGCAGCATATACTTATTTATGTAGTGAGCCTGAGATGTAACCCTGAATCTAAATCCATTTTTGCTGGGCAAAGTTGAGATCTGGCTCTCTGCTAACCCTGCAAGCCTATCTACAGTTCTCCAACCCTAGAAAGCAGAGGGACTTACTCTTAAGAAAAATACTCTCTTTTTTTGTGTGTGTTTGGTTTTTTCCATTTCTTTCATTTCCTCTTTGTTTCGTTTTTTTTTTTAATTTTCTTAAAGGGAAAATCTGTTGCAATAACACAAAGCCATCACGCTCTCTCTGGTTACAGCTGAGTGACACCACACGGGCAGCAGAATATGTACAAATTAAACTGTAACAACGTCCCGGGGAGAGGCACAGCAACAGCATAAAAATTATCCACAGTGCAATATGACTAATGTTGTGTGAAATGCATTCACTGGCCAAATGATGGCGAGGTGTATCTTAAGGAGTTGTGCTGCTGGAGATAATGGTTATAGAAGGAGCTGAAGGAAGGAAAGGTTGCAGGGAGGGCAGCCTGGCTGGGAGGAGGCTCGGGCAGGTGAAGTGAGCAGAAAGCTGAGCCTCTGGAATACAGAACCATGTGCTGAGCACTCAGTGGCACCTTTCCTCCTCACAGCCTGCTGTGGAGGTGTGCTGCTCTTCCAGGCAGCACATGTGTTTCTGTGCTCCTTCTCACCTCCTTTTATATGGGCTTTTTGCAAACATTTATCCAGAAACACAAGCTGCACATGTGTTAAATATTCTCTAGCTCCATTACTTATGGAAATGTCTTTTTTTTCCTTCTTTCTAGGTACAAAAGAAAACAAAAATCCCAAAGAGAAGGGACTGATTTTTTTATTAGAACATCTAAAACTAAGAAATCAGCTCAAATTTAGAGAGAGGATGGCTAGAGTAAACACTTCATTAAGGTGCACTCACAGGTTTTCATCTCATTCCTTAATCTGAGAGTCTGTTTGAAGTAAGTAGATGTTTTGCCTGAATAAGAAACTTGGGTATTGGTAAATTAATTTGATTTTCCTCTCAATTAAACATAGATTTAGGAAAAATACGTGTAGTGACCCATTGTAGCATCATGCTTATCCACAGATGTTTATCTAGCACATGAACATTTTGTTTTCAAAGGAATTTAGGGATTACCCAAGCAAGTCTTTTCTTTAAAATCCAAGTTCCATTTTCCAGAACAGCTGAGGTGAGCTCCCAGCTCACTGAGTGTCTCTTACAAACCTAAGTACTTTTTCAAATCAGAGCACTGGGCAGCAAAGTGGACTTGGCTGAAATAAAACCATTCCCTGGGCAGGGTGTTGCTGGAGAGCAGGGCCTGGTCTCTGGTGCAGTCACAGCTCTCGAATTACCAGAAAAACAGAGTGTTTTGATGGTGTTCTTGATTATTTGCTGCCTCGTTGGTTACAAAGGAGCAGCTTAGGCTGAAATCATGCAAAGGTTGTTCTTTCTGATGTGTGGGAGCCACCTTAGCCAGTTTTGCTTCTCATTTATTGATATGTACAAGGATGGGAGGTAGACCCAGCCAAAAGTGCTGGGATCCAACTATTTTCAAAGCCCTGAGATATCCAGAGGGGGGAGTTCATTTGTCTCCTCCTGAAGATAGTGGGTCCCCGTGGAACGTTTCAGGGGAAGGCAAAGCTCTCCAGAGATGTGGGGTGTGCTGGACTCAGGGTTTCTGTTCTGCTTCAAAGGCAAAGGAGGAGGGAGTGATGTGATAAAATCAGTGTTTTCAGCCCTAAATCTAACTTGGATCTGGGGGTTCTTTGTGAACCTTATAAAGCTTTTTCTCCAGCCAACCACCTCCACTCAGCACTGAGCACGTGCCAGGAATTCCCCAGCAAAGGAAGCTGCCAGAACTCGTGGAGTTGGGATAACTCTCTGCTATCAAACCCATAAAACCCCCAGTGCAGGCAGGGCTGTGGAGTGGCCAAAGGGGAACATCCTCAGCCCAGGCTCAGGGATTTTGCACCCCCTCTGTGCTGCAGTTTCATGCTTTGACAGGGCTGTGCTGGCTCTGTGCAGCAGAATTTCTGTGTGCCCTGTTCCTCTGGGGAATAATCTTGAGCCATTGGCTCTGGGGGCAGGAAAGCACGTTCTGGCTCTGCCAGAGTGTGCAGGGATACAGCAAGCTCAGCACGGGGAAGGGGGAGAGGCACTCTGGGGCCTGGGCTGCTTTATATCTCAGCTGATTCTCTTCTTTCCCTCTTCCTATCCCCTGAATTGCTTGACAGAAGAAATCCAGGGAAGATCCAGCCATGTGATTAACAGTGCTGGGGGCTGGGGAGGGATGACAGGGAAGTGCAGCGTGGCCACCAGCCAACTTCCAGCAAGAAACAGAATATCTGGCTTCCTCTGATCTCCAGAGGAAAATTAAGTTACAAAAACCTTTAGTGGAAACTTTGCATACGTTCAGTGCCATTGCCATGCCTGACAGGAAAAAAACCCCTGATGTATTATTTAGTTTATAGTGATAGAATTAAAGGCATAAGCTTTCCCACCAGGAATGAAGGGGAAAAAATCCTCTTGAAAACTGAAGACAAAACCCCTTTAAACTCCTTGACTGTTTTGTGCTGTCAGAGCTCTTGAGAAATTCTCCTTTCCGTGTCCATGGGTGGTTGTGTGAATTGTATTTTGGAACATCTTCCCCGTGAATTTCTGCACTTGCATCCAGAGCCCTTCTCCTTTTCCCAGCCATTTGTGCTGCTTCCCTCAGGAGCACTGCAGGGCAGGAGGGGATGGAGGTGGGCAGGAGGCTCCCAACTCTCCTGGGAAGACACTGCCCCAGGAAAGGCTTTGGCTGCTCACACTGCCCTGAGAGCCAAGGCCCTGCTGCTCCTCAGAAACCCTGTGTGACACAGAGAGGAACTGCTCCCCCTCCTCCTGTCTGTCATCAGTGGGGAGGAAAAATCAGGGAGTCTGATTTAAAAAAAATAGCTGAAGTGTTAAGTGAGCAACAAGTTGGGACCTGTGTGTGTGAGAGAAAGCACTGACTAAAATAAAGTGGCCTCCTTATTGACAGGTACATCTAAAGCAGCTGGAGCAACCACGATGAAAGGATTACTGACATGTCAGCCAGTTTCAGAGAGGAAAAAAAGAAGCTGGATTGGCTGGTTAGATCCCTGCTTCATTTAGTCTTATGGCATGTTGATAGATGTGTGAACTGAGGCTTTTTTCATGTCAGAAACACTGAACAAGGGTCTGAAATGGCATCATGTGGCTCAGCACCAAGCATTCCCCTGCCTGGCTGTGCTGTCCTCTTGCTGGTTGCTCAGGCTGGCAGGAATATGGCTCTGTTTGCTCTGACAGGAGAAAGTACAGCTGCATTTTGCAGTATTTCCCTCTACCTGGTT